ATGGCCTTGTGCCAGCAGGGCATCCAGGACCTCTCATCTCAAAGCAAAGTCTTTCAGCTGAGTTTATGACCATTTCCTTAAGTCCTTAACACCCTTGAGGTTGAGCTGTCAGGGCCCAGCCAGGTCCTGAGATACCTTCACGGCATCTTTCTTAGTGCCTTAGTACAAAACACTTCTCTTCTTTTAAAGCTATTTTTATTTGAAAATGCTAAAAAAACAGAGAGTTTACAGTTACATAGTCAGGCAATGTTACCCTTCCCTTGCTTTCTCAGAGTTTTTCCCTTCCATCCTACCCACAAGTTGTATAGTTTATTTTCAACATAGTGTCCAGTGAGTACTAAAGCATGAACAAAATACAAAATGAAAATAAATTCTTTGCCAAGATGCAACCCAAATGACTTTTAGTTCAATCCTGAATGGAATCCTCATTCCTATCTGAAACCTCAGCGAGCAGGCTTTACTTTTCACATTCCCATTGGTATTCAGATCTTTTGAGTTTCCTCATAATGACCCAGTAAGTGCTGCTTCCATAATATGGAAATTCTCTACCATTATCTCCACATTTTATTCATGCCAGCATTGTGGCTTGAACTCAGGGCCTTTCATTCATTCACTTAAGAATAGTTCTCTGCCACGTGAGCCTCGGCTTCTGGCTTTCTGCTTGGAAATTAGAGTCTCCAGGACTTTGCTGTGCAGGTTGGCTTTCAATCATGATCCTCAGATCTTAGCCTCCTGAGTAGCTAGGATTACAGGCATGAGTCACTCCTGCCCAGAGTCATGGACCATTCTTATAATCATATTTTTGAATTCTTTGTCTGAGATTTCATTCACTTTATGATTGTTTGTTGCCATGTAGTTGTTGAGTTTTGGAGTAGTCATGCTTGTATTTTCCATATTTCTGCATTTTTGTCTTGGGATTCAGTTATCAAAAGCCAGGTTGTTGGTTGGAAAAGCTAAATGCCTGCAATCCTTCAGTTGAAATATTCTCAGTGTTCTCAGGGCAATGGCAGAATGGGGGCGTCGCTTCTCACCACTGGACAGAGATATCTCAGCTGCCCAGTATTTGCTTACATGCTCAGGACAACAGGCTTGGGTCCTCAGCTCTGCTCCGATGAAGAGAAACTACCTATACTCTCTTTGTTGTCTGTTGTCCACTTCCTCATTGTTTTCTTTTTAGACGCTTCCTTTCTTTGTGTGTTGGGAGCTGCTGTGGGCTGTGGGGAGCTTCACAGTTGTGGGCTGAGCAGGTTTTACTTGCAACACCTGCCTTTGTTTTTTGTTTTTGTTTTTTCAGGAATCACCCACTCCTTTCACACTTTTAGGGCGGCCCAGCCTGGCTTTCTTCATCAGGATCCCCACCTAACCCGGGCCCCATGGATCCTTTGATCCATTTTGGAAAAGCCCGATGTTCTCAAGGAAGTCTTTTCTCTTCCTGCCATCCCAGGCAGTGGCGCTCCTAGGTCTTTCCTTTAGATTTTTCAGATAAGAATCTGATATAAGCTCCTTCCTTCTTCAAACCCTTGAGTTTGACCACATGTCAAACTCTCTGCTTGTTTTTCCTGAATCCCGGTGCATGATGTGAACACCTGACCATTTGGAGGGCTCCGGCTCATGGAAATGACTGTCTTTTCTTAGATTGCTTTATCTGAATGCTACATGTGGGAAAACTGAGTGCCACTGAAGACCGTCCTGCCTGCTGAGGACAAGGTTTGAAATTGAGCTGGCTCTGCTAGAACCCACAGGCACTTCCCCACACTGGGACAGGGGCTCTGGTTGTTAATTACCTGCTCCAGGGAAAGGTGAGAGAGGTTGGGCTGGAAACATTATTGATTCTTCTAAGGCTTAGGGACAGTTACTCCCCAACTCCTCTCCACCCGCACCCCCCCTCCTCTGGCAGGCCATAGGGCCTAGCACCATTGAAATTCCTGTCCCCAACCTCAGCCAGTCCCTGAACATATGTTTCACCCTGAAAGGAACAATGGAGCCTCCAGGCTTAATTAAGACCCCACAAAAAAAAAAAAAAAGTGCTTGGCTGAGCTGGCTTTTTCACTCACCCCACCCCCACACTTCTGTGTCTGCTCTTTCCTCTGTGGAAAATGAAAGGCACCCAAGGCACACGGGCTCCCACACACGCCTTGCTTTTCTCACAATCTGACTTCCTTCCATTCTTCCATGTGCTGGGGTGGGAGAAGAGGTTGCCTGGGTTTCTGGGCCAGCTTGTCCTAAGTCCCTGGCCCAGCTGTAGAAGCAGGTGGCTGGTGAGGGCCTGCAGGGTCTCCTGTTCCTAGCAGGGCTGCCTTCTCCAAGCTAGGTCTCTAACTAGATTTGGGGTGCAGGCTAGCCCACGCCAGAAATTTGACTTAAGAGTTTAGTGAGAGATTACACAACAAAGGTCTGCACCAACTAGAAGATGGAGCCCCACCTTAGTTCGGTAGCTGATCTTTGGGGCCAAGTTCACTGGCCCATGAAGGCTCATCTAAGGGCTCAGTGTAGCACAGGCACTTGAAGGATTTTTATGTTGAACAAATGTATGACTTTTTAGCAAGGCCATATATTGAGTGCTTAACAGCTCTTAGCCCTCATAAGGTGGTAACATCATCCTGTTTTACAGAGGAGGCTATCAAGGCACAGAGACAGCAATCAAATTGTACATGGTCACACAGTAGGTACGTAGAGCCAGGAAATTCAAATCCAATCCATTGCTGGTAAAGTCCACACACCCTACCTAGGCTGCCTCCAATGTGAGAACAGACCTGAAGCATCACGGGATAAACAGACTCCTCAGATTGGCCACCAAGCTGGCCAAGAAATTGAGCATGCCAGCACATTATAACCTGACCTCTCCATTATGTGCAGGCTTTTGAAAAAAATTGCTGAGTGAAGTCCCTCATTCTCCCCTAAAGTTAAGCACTATAATTCTGTGATCATGTCTTTGATTTTCTTTACCCTTGTACTATCAATTGTGGTCTGAATATGAAATGTAGCCCACAGGCTCAAGTGTTGAATGCCTGGTCCCCAGTATTGGGGGACATAATGGACAGATATTTGGGGAAACTTTGGGATGTGGAGACTACTTAAAAGAAGCAGGTCATTTCAAGGCTGTACTGAGTTCTCAGCCCCCTCCTTACTCTCTCCTTCCTGTTCATCATGAGGAGAGCGCCTCTCCTCTTCCATACATTTAGGCCACCATGATGTTCCCTCTTAGCACATGAGGTCAAGAAGACATGGGCTAACTTCTACTTTTTCTTTTTTTTAGTGCCAGCCCTGGGAGTTGAAATCAGAGCCTGGGTCTGTCCTGGGCTTTTTTTTTTTTTTTGCTAAGGCTAGTACTCTACCACTTGAGACACATGCTCCATTTTTGACTTTTTGCTCATTAATTGGAGATAGGAATCTCATAGATTTTCTTGTCTGGGCTAGCTTCAAAGTGCAGTCCTCAGATCTCAGCCTCCTAAATGCTAGGATTACAGGCATGAGGCATCTAAATTCTAACAAAGAATGTCTACAGCTGGGAGATGTGGTTCAACTGGAAGAGCTCTTGTCTAGCATGTACAAGGCCCTGGGTTGTCTCTAATATTACAAAAACAAAGAAGCAAAAAGCCCCCTAAACCAAAATAGTGCTTCGATAAATAGGAGTTCTAAACTTTAATGTAAACTTAATGAAATAAAGTTTATTAATCCTATATGGTTGACAATATTTTTAATAATATGTTAAGACCTCTCCTCAGAGGTATAGAATATGCACACATATATATATTATTCATATTTGAATTTTTTGTTCTGTACATATTTAGATGTACGTAATGCACTTAGAATTAATTTTTGGTAAAGGTGTATGAAGGTAGGGATCCAACTTAAGACCTGAATATCACTTATGAACGAGACCATCCTTTTACAGCTGTTCTGTACTTTAACTCTATCATCGATCCCAATGTAAGGTTTGCTCTGTCTACCCACTCACCATTTTGTTATTCCTGTATGAGTTATTAAATGTAAATGAGTGAGGCTGGGTGCTGGTGGCTCATACCTGTAATCCTGGCTACTGAAGAGGCTGAGATCTAAGGACAGCGGTTCAAAGCCATCCTGGGCAGAAAAGTCTCCGTGAGACTTTGAGCTCCAAATAACCACTCAAAAACTGAGGCTCAAAGTGGTAGAGTGCTAGCCTTAAGCAAAAGAGCTCAGAGACAGCACCCAGGCCCTGCCTGAGTTTAAGTCCCATGACTGACCAAAAAAAAAAAAAAAGAGATACAAAAATAAGTTACAGATCTGGGGGGGGGGGTGGATCTGTACAATGTATTCTTGTCCTTATGGCTTTATTATCCAACAATTAAACTATGGCAGCAGCCCACAAGGCCTTGAAGCCTAGGGTGTATGTCTTACTCTGCTCATTTTCCTTCCTACTCCAGGACAATCTTGTGAGGCTGGGCAAGGAAACAGCCTGCTCAGCTTCTCCTGGCCAGCTGTGTGAGCAGGTCCTCTGTGGGTTACCGTGCATGAAGGCAGAAGGGATGGCTGGAAGGGGAAGGCAGAGGCTGCCTGTCCACTCCTTCTAGAAGCCAGGAGTCCTCTCCCTATTTGCTTAACAGGCAAATTCCTACCTACCCTTCGAGGCCCCAGCCCCAAAGCACCTCCTCGGGGAAGCCTGCAGCAGGTGGCCACCTGCCTTGACTTCCCCACTGCATCCTGAGCTCGGGAAGGGCAGGGCTGATCCTGCGTTAGGAGCATCCAGAGCCAACCTGCCTCTGGTGGGCACAGGCAGACTGCAGGTCAGGGGCACCCCACTCCCTGGGATTTTCCACAGTGGGGTCCCGCTTCCTTCCCTTCCTCTTCTCCCCCGTCCTTCCTCCTGTCTTCACTCCTCATCCTCCCTCACCTTCCTCTCCCCCTCCTCTTTCTCCCCTGCGCCCCAGACCGCGGCGCCGGCCCTGACCGCTGCAGTTCCCAGCCTTGGCCGACAGAGGGCGCCGGGCCGCCGGCCGCGCCCCGCCCGCGCGCTTCCTGTGAGGTCAGGTGGGCGGAAGCCGCGGCGGCTACCGGAGCGGACTCCGCGGAGGCCTCGCACCGCGCCCGCAGGTGGGTGTCCCCCCGGGGGAGGCGCGGGGACGGGCGGCCTCGGGCCCTGCATGGCGGGCCCGGCCTCAGGCTGGCGTCAGGCCGCGTAGGCCGCGTCTGGACAGCCGGCCGTCGCCCGGCTCCGAGGCCGGGTGACCGAGCGCAGGACTCCGCAGCGGGGACCCCGACTCTCCCGGGGCTCGTGCGGGCCGGCCATCAGGGTCCCCTCCGTGCCCGGCCCCGGGTCATCGGCGGGAGAACCAGGCTCCCCTTTCCCCCCCCAGCGCTCCGGAGTATTTAGGTGCAAACTCTGAGTGCTGAGATACAAACTGGCGCATGGGGACGGGGCCTTGTCATCCAGATGCCAGGAGAGGGGCGCGGGGCCAGGGGCCCCAGCCCGTGGAGCGCTTGGGGGTCCCCAGAGCAGAGTCCTCCCCCCTCCCGGTCACGCGCAACACCCCGCACCGCATGTATTGGGCAGGTTGAGCTCTGCCCTCCTTCAGCAAAAGATGCTCTGGGGGCCCCCCTCCCCCCAGGGAAGTGGGGTGTGCCCACCGCAGCCCTGCCGGCCTAGGAAGCCTGCCTGCAGTCAGCATGGGCTGTGCCAGGCAGGGGGCCTGGAATGGAGGGGTGTCCACCGCCTGGGAGGGTCCTGGAAGGAGAAGGCTCAGGTCCCTGGTGTTTTGCTTCTTGGGCAGCAGCGCCTAGGACTCATCCTTAAAGGCGAGGGAAATGGGGGCAGTGGGGATGGGATGTCTTGGTCTCTCTCTACCCAGAGAGGCCTGAATGCAAAGGGCCCAGGCCACTTTTGATTGTTGTAGTTGGTCGTGGGGCTTGCTTGAACTCAGGGCCTGAGCTCTGTCCCTGAGCTCTTTTGCTCAAGGCTAGTGCTCTACCACTTTGAGCCACAGCTCCACTTCTGGTTCTCTTGAGTTGTTAAGTGGAGGTAAGAGTCTCATGGAGACTTTCCTGCCTGGCCTGGCTTCAAACCCTGATCCTCGGATCTCAGCCTCCTGAAATAGGATTACAGGTGTGTGACACTGGTGTCTGGCTTTAGGGCACTTTCTCTGCTGCCAAGAGTTTCCTCATGAGCCACTTAAACCTCAAGGCATCAAGCTGTGCATGGCCACATTCACCTCACATAGCTGGCCAGGATGGGGTGAGGAGCATCCGGATTCCAACCCAAGCTTCAAACTTGGGACTCCACAACCCTTTTGGCAGTTCCTAGTGGACTCAGTCAGTGTGAGATTTTAACCCTACAGCTTGCATCTCCCTCGCTTGTCTTGTTGCTGGGACATAGTACCTGCTCAGGGTGGGTCACCAATCATCAGTCTCCACAGCAGGCTGTTTCCTCCAGGCTCACTGAGGTCAAGGCGAGGATTGTACATGAGCCTCAGATACCAGCCAGAGACTAAGAATTCAGGGTCATTGGGGGAACTGGACCTCTGGGCCCCTGGCTGTGCATTGCAGGTGTCCAGGCTTTGTAGGGACCCACTGCTCCCAGGAGGATGGTGCGGATCTTGGCCAATGGGGAGATTGTTCAGGACGATGACCCCCGTGTGAGGACTACTACATCGCAGAGAGGGAGCACTCCTCGGCAGGTAGGTACCCATCCCTTGGGGAGGGGCAGCTGGCTTTCTGTTGCTGCTTGTTAACCTTCTGTAGCTCTGCAGAGAGCAGAGCTGGGGAGCCAGAGGGTCAAGGCTTGGGAAAAATGAAGGGATTTTGTTCCCTGTTCCATACTTACCCAGGTCTTCTTCCTCCAAGTCAGCCTCCCAGTTCAGACCTGAGGTCCATCTATCCTTTAACTTGGTAGTGACCCCAACTGGAGCCAGCATCTGACTTGAGAGTCTTTGAGATGAGTGAGAAACTTTAGAATGTGGAGGAGATGAACATGTGACCCCAGGACACTTGCTCTGGAGGGAACTAAAGATGTACTCAAGGACCAGGCCCTCTCATTTACCCTGCTGCCACGCCTTCCTCCCAGCTCTGTCCTGGGAACCTTCTCCCTGGGCGTGACCTGGGGACAACACACTGGCATTTTCTGTGCTCTGAGAGCTTGTGACATCCTGAGAAGGGATCGTAGCCCAGAGTGGCCAAGGAGGAGGAGAGGACCCTCTTGGTCTCAAGCTGGACTCCCCACCTTGTTGGTGCCTAAAGTCCATGGCAGCTTTCTCTGGATTCATTCATCTGTCTTTACCTTCCAGGGCTTTCTCAACAGGGGTCATGGTGCCCCTCCAGGGGGGCCTGGGCCCCGCCAGCAGCAGCAGCAAGCAGGTGCCAGGCTTGGTGCTGCCCAGTCGCCCTTCAATGACCTCAACAGACAGTTGGTGAACATGGGCTTCCCCCAGTGGCACTTGGGTAACCACGCCGTGGAGCCAGTGACCTCCATCCTGCTGCTCTTTCTGCTCATGATGCTTGGGGTTCGCGGCCTCCTGCTGGTGGGCCTTGTCTACCTGGTGTCTCACCTGAGCCAGCGGTGACCACTGGGGCCGACAGGGAGTGTGTGAGAGGGACTTGCTGGATTTGATGTGAGAGTCAGCTCTGGGGGAGGGGACTAGAGGGGTGTGGTGTGGGCTTTCTCACATTATTAAGCATGAGGCGGAGGGAGACCTAGCCTAGCATCCCTCAGATATGGAGTGGGTGCCCTAGTTCTGAGATTCTATTAGGGGGTATAGGGCCTCCATTTAAGAGGTGCAGGACCACAGTTTGAAAGGAGTTGTTCCAATTTACTCTTTTTATGCCAAGAAGAAAGTCTCAACTTGGTGCTGGTGTGACCTACTGCTTTTCCTTAGGAGCAGGGTGGGCTGAGGGCAAGTGAGAGACCTTTCCAGACTTTTATAGCAGTGTTTTGTTCTAATGGTGTATTTGTATTGGCTACCTTTTACTTATGACAAGGGGACCTGGCATTCTATTTATTGTGACATTTTCAATAAATAAGTAAAACAACGAGCCATGTAAAGAAGTTGGTAGATGACCCAACGGCTCCACAATGGTAAAAGTGGTTTGGGATTGGTAGGTTTTGGAGAGCAGTGCAGCATCTGGCTTTGATCTTGATTCTGAGATTTTTTTTCAGTAGGATCCGGGCTGTAGAAACCATCCCTAAATGGGGGTATGTGGGGGTGAGGGAGCCCTGCTTTTTCTGGGGCTGCTGGAAGCTCTGCCAATGAAGATGATGCTGGGTGGCTCTGGCCCACAGAAAATCAGAAAGAGGCTGGTAAGCCTGAGGACTGCCCCTGCTCTGTACCTGTATCTTACCCACTGAGGACCCTCCAAGGAACGGACACATGGAATGGCCAGGCCTGGGGAGGATATGGAGGACCGAGGTGATGCTGACCCTCCTGGGCCTGCGGCTCTGCTCCAGCAACCTTCTTCCACAGGCCCTGTGTCCACACTGCCCTTGTGGGGTTGGTGACCTTCATCATAGACATTCCTTTGGGAGCTTTGTGGCATCAGAACAGGACTCCTTTCTCAAAGCATCATTTCCAGTCATTATTTCTTGGAGATAATTGAGCATGGAAAGGAAGGGGGTGCTAGGTCTTTCTTGGGGTAGGGTCTAGTTCTCAGAAGCCACTCTGAGCTCTAGGCATGGGGAGCCTAGTGTCCCTAAGCTCCTACTGCTCCGGCCTAGCAGTCATGAGACTTCCTGCCCTGCATCCCCCTCCACCACCTCCCCTCATCAGGTCTCCTAACATGTAAAGAGGCATGTCAAATTCAGGGCTGAAAATCATCTCAGCCTCCATCCCATGTCCTCACTGTGGAGACAGTGGCTCCTTGGGTTTCCAGCATCCTGCCTGGGTACAAGGGTGGCCGTCCTACCCCTCATTTCATCAGGAGATGGCCCGCATGTCTTGGCTGTTGACTGAGCTCCAGACTCTGACTAAACTCTGGGGGCCTGGGGTCTGACCCTTGGCCCTTGAGCAGCCCCATCTCCTTGATTCCTGGACTCTGTGAGCTGGCCCCAGACAGCTCTGCCTCATTTCTCAAGCCTGGGATCAGAAAGTACCTGGGATGTCTGACCCTGACTCTGAAGGAGCAGAGGTTGTGAAGTGCAGGGAGGCTCCCTCTGGAGTTGTACAGCCACAGGGCTGTGAGCAGCCCAGGTGCTGCCCCACCTGTAGTCCAGAGCCCCCTCAGTGAACCCCGACCTACACCGGCAGTAATTGTGGGTGGGAATATGTGCCCCATCAGGCTTTGCTCCTGGTGGCCTTGTGCAGACCCTTACGGGGTGCTCCTGCCTGGTCAGCATTCTCCTGCTGCTCGGTCTCCTTGTCTCCTTCCCTGAGCATGTTCCATGCAGTAGTTCTCAAAGCTGTACCCCTTTCCCACCCTCCAGTGGCCCTGGAGATGAGGGCACACACATTCCCATCTCCCCTGAGGGAGACCCCAAGACTGATTCCACAGGAAATGGGGACTCCCATGTTGCCAGTTCCCTGTGGAGTCCTCTCCCAGATGCTGGGACCAGAATGGAGGTCTTTTATTTTTATTCTTTTTTTTTTTTTTTTTGTCGGTCGTGGGGCTTGAACTCTGGGCTTGGGCGCTATCCCTCAGCTCTTCAGCTCAAGGTGAGTGCTCTACTGCTTGAGCTACAGCGCCACTTCCAGTTTTCTAGTGGCTTATTGGAGGTAAGAGTCTCACAGACTTTCCTGCCTGGGCTGTCTTTGAACCTTGATCCTCAGATCTTAGCCTCCTGAGTAGCTAGGATTACAGGCGTTAGCCACCGGCACCCAGCTGGAGGTCTTTTAGAATAGCTCTAAGGCCATAGGGGAAGCCTGGGAGGGGTGTCTGAGTCTCTGCCCTTTTGAGAATGGGAGGAAAATTGCCCTTGCCTATGGCCACCTAAGGACCAGAGACCCCTACTTGGCTGTGTGGGCCTAAGACTTTAGATGGTTCCCTCAGCCTCCTGGGCCCTGCTTGCCTGTTGGATCCTTTTGGGTCCCAGATGTGGCTGGTGAGGGGGACAGAGGTCTGTGGAAAGGGGCAGTTGCTGCAGCCTGAACCTCCTCTGCAGGGATGCTGCACCAGAGGCTCAGCCCCAGAGTGTCTGTCATGTTGCAGGTACCGAGCCCCTCAGCTAGGGTAGTCTTGGGCTTTTGATGCCAGTGATCCCCTCCACAGCTGGTCAGGAAGCAATGCCACTGCCTGGCTCGGTTCCTAGAGACCAAAGGCTTCTTGGGTGACTCAGGTAACTCAAGTGGCTGCAGCCACATCTGCTCAGCTTCACCAACTGCTGGGTCAGCACTTGGAGGCTGAGGGCTCTGACAGACACCAGCTGCCACTGCCTGGCTCAATGGCCTTGGGCTTCCCAGCATCTCTGAGCACTGGGTTTCCACTGCAGGTGACAAGGGGAGGATTCCAGTGATCCAGGGATGAAGACAGGGGTGGCAAAGGGTCTGGGGCCAAAGCTGGAGGGAGAGCCCTTGGGGCCAGTGGCATACAAGGGGGCAAGACAGCTGTGTCCTGTGCCACCACTCAGGGCCTAGAAGCAGAAGCAGAGGGTGATAATGTTAGTGCCCCACTGAGAGAGAGATTGTGTGTGTGTGTGGGGGGGAGAGGTGTCTGGTCCTTTGGTTCTGGGGTAGGGTATGGGACCCAGACAGCTTTAGCATCTCAGAGTTTGGAAAATGGAGCCTGACAGCAGCCTTTGCACCCAGGCAGGCAGTGGAGCTGGGGTGGAAGGTGTTCATCCCGCCCCAGCTTGCTTTGGTGAAGGACCCCTGCTAGTGTTAGTTCCAGTTCAAACTCTGGCAATCAGCTTACCTCAGTCTTTTCATCTCAGCTCCTAAGGGTGAGGATCAAGTACATCAATCCCCAGGAAGCCTTAGCAAGTGTTCGGGCCCCAGGCTAGCACTTGATAGTGTTGCCATAGCCACAAAGCAGTGGTGTGAGGATGTATTGAACATTTTTTCTTATTCTGGTGCCAGTACTGGGGCTTGAACTTGGGACCTCAGCTTTAACTTGGCTTTTTCACTCAAGGTTGGCATGCTACCACTTGAGCCCTACTTCTACTTCTGGCTTTTTACCTGTTAATTGGATATACAAGTTTCTTGTATACAAGATCTCAGCCTCCTGCATAGTTAGGATGACAGGTGTGAACCACCAGCATCCCGAAGGATGTACTTAACTTTTTAAAACAGCCAATTAATTTTTAGAAGGAAGCCTCACATTGCTGTCATAGGTGTCTATACAAGTAGATCCATTGGAGAGAAAATAGTGCTCTTGAACTTCAGCCTGCCCCTATGATCATCAAAGGCCTTCAGCCTGACATGAGTGCTGCTTTCCTTGCTCAGGTCAGCTCACAGGGGCAGACCCCTGTGAGACCCCTCACTCAGACTCTTGGATGGACTCAGGCCTAGAGGGAACTGGAAGGTACGGGTTTTCTCCTGTATGATGCAGTGTGTTGGTGAGTTGTCCTCCGTCACGTCATATCCCTTCCCCAAAGACATCACGCCCTGTGACATAACAGCATCTCAGAGCTCTGGAAACATGGTGACCTCAGTATGCACTTTACCAAAGCTTAGCCTTTGTAAGGCCTTTATATGATCAGAGATCAAGCAGTCTGCTCCTGTCTGCAAAGAGTGGTCTCACTCCCTGCCAAGTCCTTCCATCCTGCCCCCTCTATCTTGTAAATGCTGTTTTTCAGGCCTGGGCTTTAGTCCTTTTGTAATTTAGTTATGCAAACATAAACAGACATTCTCATTTTTCTTTTTTCTTTTTCTTTTTTGTGGGTTGTGGGGGCTGAACTCTGGGACTGGGCACTGTCCCTTAGCTCTTCAGCTCACAGCTAGTGCCCTATCACTTGAGCCACAGCGCCACTTCCGGCTTTTTTCTGCTTCTGTGGTGCTAAGGAATCAAACCCAGAGTCTCATGCATGCAAGGCAAGCACTCTACCACTGAGCCAACTTCCCAGCCCTTTTCTTATTTTTTATACAGTGATGGAAAATTAGAAACATTTCCTTTGCTTTTTTTTTCTCTTAACAATATGTGCTGGGCATGTTTTTTATCATAAAGAGGTTCTCCATTCCATTGTATTTGGGCGCTGGGGTGCCTTGTGACCCTCTTTTGGCCCCCACAGAGTACTTGTCCCTGTAGCTCTGACCCTCACCCTCTCTGGGGTAGGTCTAGATAGAATACTTCTGTTTCTCTGGGGACTGATGGGAAGCTCTGTGGAGGTGAGGTATACACTCATCCCTGGTCCTAAGCCCTACAAAATCTAGAAAGTAGCTCCTTGTGCCAGTAAAATACTGAGGGAGAAGCAGCCCTAGAAGCCACATGTTCTTGGTTTTCTCCACCCCCTTAGCAGTCTGATGTGTGTGTGGGGGTATTTCTGCCTAGTTCTGTCCCTTGAGTCATGCTGTGCCTCAGGGGAGCCTCCAAAGTCCCTTCACCATCTCTGGTAGGTGGGCAGTGAGCTCTCCTGGCCTGCCTGTGTTCTGAAAAACAAAAGGGCATGGAGAGATTCTCTTAAAGATGTCTTTCAGATCTAAAACTCAAGCCACTTCATTCGCTTTGCCTCTAACCTAACTTGGTGTTGCCAATGTCACTGTGCCCCCAATCAGTGCCACCTGGTTTTGGTTGCACATCTGCATTGAGAAGGTTAAGGTGACCAAACTCCAAGCCTTCAGCTCTGGACTGGCTAATGAACTACCAACAGATGCCCTCTGGAGGCTCAGGAGGCCTGGAGTTTTTAAACCTGTCCCATGGCACCCTCTGGTGGAATGTCTGGGTAGTCTGTAGACCAAGTGAGAGCCTCACCTGAGCTCATCTCAGATACTTCCCCAGGTGCAGCAGTAGGTGCTAGCTGCCTAGGTTAAGAATATTTAAGATGTGCTAAGCTAGTCATTCATACCTGTAGTCCTAGCTATTTAGAAGGAAAGATTCAAAGCCAATCCCTGGCCAAAAATAAAAGGTCATGAGATCCCTCCTACCTTAACAAACTGGCTGGATGTGGT